TAGTCTGGATGGTTGTCATTAAAGTGATGGGAACTGTGCAAGCTTGCGTGTTCTCACTCCCTTTTCCCATTTCAAGGGAGGAATCTTTGAGTTAGGGCTGGCAGGTGGGAGCAGGGGCACTGTGAGCAGCTTGGCTACAGCTACGGCAGTGTATATATGTTCATAAGCAGCAAAGTGAGCAGAAGCACAGTAGACACAATCCTTTGAAAAATTAACAGGGGGCGGGGAAGGAAGAAAGCCAAAAATGAAAACATTCCTTTTGCTTATAACTATAAATCACTAGTTTCCTGGTGATGATCTTTGCTTATCTCTGAAAGTGTATTTCTCTTTGGTTTAAATCTGACAACAGTATGCTGTCCCAGTTGATAACTGCGGCACACTTGCTTTTTTGTGCTTGTAAAGATATCTTGAAGTTTGGCTAATTAAACTCTGACGGCAAGGCATATGGCTTACTTCAGTTATGAAACTTGCAGAAAGAGTGCCTGAAATTTAAATACAAAATTATGATATTTTATAATATAAAGTCATCCATTCCATAAATTTTAGTGCTCAAACAATTTCCTTTTTTGAAAAGCCACACTAAAAGTTAGGAGAATATATTTTCTTGATAAGTAAGCTATACAGCATAAAGTATTATAACCTGCCACCAAAGACATTATTGCCATTGTTTTTGGAATTGACTGTTTTTTGTTTTGTTTTGTTTTATTTTTAGTTTTGGTGCTGGGGATTGAACTCGGGACCTTGCACTTGTGAGGCAGATGGAGGAACCACTGAGTGAAATCCCCAGCCCAAATTGACTGTATTTTTGTGCCATTAAATTTTACCATTTGTCACTTCTGGGGATAAAACTGGCTGATTAATTTTGCTTCTGGAACCTTGGCGTCATGGGCATAGTGAGTGAAAAGTCTCAGTATTTGAAATGATTGAAGGAAATAATAACAGAGCAAGTTATGTTATAGTCCCTTCTCCATTGAAAATTGAGCATCGAAATACTAAAATGAGCTCCTCTGTCTAGAGTTGACACAGTTTAACAAAGAATATGCTGAAAGTTAGGAATAGGAGGCTTATACTGCCCACCTATTTCCAGTATTTCTTTTACTCCCATGTTAGGGTCTTGCCTAATCAAGCTGAATCTTTTTGTGGTTTCCTCTGTCCTTACCTGGGTGGGAAGAAGAAAACTCAGTTATATTAAATACTGTTCATCTTTAGTCTAGAAAAGGTATAGGTCCCTGTAGCAATGACCAGTGCTTTCTTCTCTGCAGCTGGTTATGGCCGACTTGCTACATGCGTATAATTTTCATTTAACGTGGAGTGGAAGAGTCAGAGGGTATGAACAAACTATAGAGAAGTGTGAGAGTTTCCTTTTGTATGAGGGTTTTATCCCTTTCCTAACACTTTGTGTAGCTAGCAGAGGAAGTTTGTGGAAATGAAACAGACTTTGTAATTGAAATGGTTTTTAGTACAAATGAAAATAATGACTTCATTAAGAGCTCCACGTATATATGAAAGGTAGAGAACAATTCTAAATAGGATGGTAACAAGACACTTTGTTTCCATGAAAATTAAAGTAAAAGATGATGACTTTAGAAGGCCTATTTTGAGAGGAAAAAAAAAATCCTACGTTTTCTTTTGTTGCAAAAGCTACTAAAATGCTGGAATGTGGTACTAAGGAATTTCCAGTCTTCTCTATTCATTAAAAATGTCCAATTTATTACCTCAGGGTTAAGTATCAAAATAAAACATAAATGGAGACTGTAATAGTAGCCATCTGTCTGGAGTTGTCTCGATCTTGTGCTAGAGAGAACAAGGATGGCTTAGATTATCTTTGGATTTCTCTTTTAGATGATATGTCGGAGAGGAGAATGTTGTGGTAAGGGGAGAAAGATAAAAGTCATGTGAGCAGCTAATGAAATGTAACAACTTTAGGGAAGCACAGAAGATCACGATGGCGGAATAAAGATCCAGCCCCTTGAAATTTGGAGATAGAGGCAGCCACAGAGCAAAGAATGTGGGGCACTGAAAAGTCACTTGGGATGTGTGTTTGAAGAAAAGGGGCAGTGACTCTGTTACTGAACAAAGAAAGTTATTTCAAATATAAAGATGTAGGCAACGTATAATATATTGCTGGAGGTGATAGTATTGTTAGAAGAATACAAGTAAATCAGTAAAAGTAAATTTGTATTGAAAGTAGCCCATTTCAGAAGAACTTAGTATCAATTGTGCATTTCTCTTAACATGTGGTATTATACGAGAAAGTGTATACATTGGACTGATGAGGAGAATTAATTACTGATTTTGAATAATTGAACATAGCTGGGGGCAGAGGGCCTAGGAAGAAGCTGAAATACATAAAGAACAAACAGTATTCCTGGTGAAATATCAGCTGTGCTTACCATAACAAGTCACGGAGAAATATTTATGTTTCACATCTTTGAAGATAGAATTGTAAACATCAAACACATCTGATGCATGTTGTGCTTAATATTGAGCAACAAATGTTTGACTGAGAAGGACCCTAAGTTGGCATGTCTAAGTAACGTCTTCCTCTCAGTTAGGCTGTTGACAGATGCATGGGTGTGTCCCCTCAGTCCCCTCCTGCAGTTAGGTTGCCTGGATTTCACTCAGTCGCTGGTTTTAAAGTTCACTTCTCTTCGGAGGTTTTTTTTTTTTTTTTTCTTTCAAGGATCAAGTGGTTCTGCTACCTGCTGTGTATACTTCAGCCATTAGTCAATATAAAGAGTTTTGTTACTGTGACTATGGACATCCGTGAAAGGAAGGACTTTATTCCCAAATATTGAAAATTTCTTGCTTATTCCGCTAAGGGAAAATGCGACGAGTGTCCTCTAAGAGGGGAAGATAGCAAATGTGCTTTCTGTCTGTCTAGCACTATTTCTGGCCTCTTGGCCTTGCCCAGGGAGCTGTGAGGGTTCTGAATTGAGGGATTAGTAGGGAGGCAGGGTGATTTCAATGAGTTTTTTGTTTAGTAAGAAATGTAACAAATTTCCACAGCTTCACACCTAAGTATATGAAACATAAATAGGAAGTATTTACTATCCTAAATTCCTCTGTCAGCAATTATAATATTGAATAGTAAATCCCTGCTTCTCAGTAAGGATCTGGCATTTCATTAAAGAGATTTTTAAAGGATTATTGAAGATCCTTGGGTATTTAAGAAAACAGAAATTGTTTGAGGAACGTGACATTATATCAGATAATGGGAGCAGGCAAACTGAATTTTTCCTGCATAATATATGTTAGAATCTTAAAATAGAGTATTTGCAGAGCAAGCAGCAGATGATTTTATACCACATTTTGAGGGAAAATAAACTGCATATACCCTAATTGACCATATGGATGGCTTCCTGGTCTATATGTTGGTTTGCGATGTGGCATCTGCCAGTCTGTCTAAGCTCCATGTCCACCACTTTTTCAGTTGCTTCTTCTGTTCCAGCCCATGGCTTCCTACTGTTCCTTGGAAACGTGTAATTTGTTCCTAAACTCAGGGTTTTCCTGCTTGCCTTTTACTTGCTGTTTCCCCTGCCTGAGAATTTCTTTCCCCAGCCTTTTTCTTCCCTTTAGAACTGTTCTCTGATTTCCTGCTCAAAGAGGATTTACCTGACCACCCCTTCTCATGGAATGTTTCGCCCATTACTGTTTCTCCTCTGCCTTTCTTGCCTTCATGGTGCTCCTGTTCATCTTCACAGGAAGTTGAATTTTGTGTTTGTGTACTTTTAAGTCCTATGAAATCAGGTTCTTGTTCACAGGAGTCTTACACCTTAGTTGTTAAGAACTTAAACATTTTTGAAAGAATGATTGTTCAGATCGTTCAAGTGTATCATGAAAACACTTGCTTTGTTGAACTGGGTATCCTTTATTTTATAAAGTGAAATTTTGGATATCTAGAATTTTTTTCCTTACACCAACTCTGCAAAGGTAAATTTGTAGGCTTTATCTTATGTTCCTTGGTGTTGGAAATCTACAGTACCAATTACTCATTTCATTTTCCTCATCTGCTGGATTTCAAGGGTATTTGAAACAAATCTGACCAGCAAGGTCTTATGGCCTAAAACAAAAACCTAGAGAGCACTGTCCTGCTAAGCAGTATGCTAGCAGGCTATGGAAAGACAAAATGGCACTTTTTCATGTGCTACTAAAGAGTATGATTTTATGTCCTGTTTTAGATACTTTTCTTGTTGCTGAGACAGAATACACAGTTAAACGAGGAAAGGTTTATTTAGCTCACAGTTTGCAGAGGTTTCAATCCATAATCAGCAGGCTCCAAGGCAGATGAGCAACATTTTGTGGTGAGCTAAAGAGGTAGCAAAGCAATAGCTTCTTTCTACCCCTTTTATCTTATGGAAACTACTTAGGATGGCTAGCACTCACACACTTAATACTGTCACTCTTGAGCCTAGCATTGCACCATGAATCAATTCCAGTGTCACACACTCTAGATCCGCTCACCTCTGAAAAGCCCCACTTCGTTCGCATGAGGCTTTGGGGGGGGCACCTGAAAACAAGTCATAACATGTCCCATTGGGTGTCAGATTTCCTCTGGTTAGATTAGGAAGTTCTTTTATGGAGGTGATTCTGTAAGCACGAAGAGGGAGAAAGTGTGTGTGGTTTTTCTCCTGCTCCACATCCCCTTCTGTGGAGAAAAAGGGAAGGGTGACAGTTATTGTCACCCCCTGAAGAGCTGTGATTACAGCACATATATTAAAGTTTATCTGCAAAGAGAAGTAAGTTTGATCAGAAAAGAACTATCAACACTGGATGTTTCTGAGAGTTGATTTCAATTCGAGTCATCCAGATATCTGTCAGATTAGAGTAGGCTCTGTTTGTACCTATGTTTGAGGGAGGAACGCATGTTAATCCAGCATTTATTTGACACTTTTCAATAAAAAGTGTGTACACTCATAAAAAATCATATCTTACTCTTGATACATTTAATATGATTAATACTCTTTCAAGTGGAAACTCAGGAGCCTTTTATGTTCCAGGTTCGTGGGAGTAAAGGAGAAGTTCTGTACATCCTGGATGCTACCAATCCACGATACTCCAACTGGCTTCGCTTTGTTCATGAGGCACCATCTCAGGAGCAGAAGAACTTGGCTGCCATTCAAGTGAGCTTCTTTGTTTCATATTTATACTATGTATTGTGAAGGGAATGCATTAATTTATAACTGTACTCCCTGTTTTAAATTTATTTCCCAATGACCTGCTTCAAATAACAGTAACTAACTCATAAACGCAGAGAAATCTCATCTAGTCAGCATATGCAGGAAAGGGCAAGCCTAGCTATAAACTAACACCATATCACTCACTTTATGAGAATTCTTGAGGGGATGAATTACACAGCTTGATATTGCCCTTGGCAGATCTTGCTTTTAAGTACTTTTATTTCATTCAGTGAATGTTTCTTGCTAGGTATTTTGGTTTGGTAGTTTATTTGGTTCATAGTACTGTACTCTGGGTTATTGTTTGAGAAAGGCTGCATGGAGAGAGTTCACTTGGGAATATGCCCCATAGCTAGGCTTTGAGCCTGTAAGTTAGGGTTCTTCAGAGTGACAGAACCAATGGGAGATATTTATGTGTGTGTCTGTGGAGATTTATTAGAAGGAATTGGATCATTTGATTATGAAGGCTGGCAAGTCCAAAATAAGCACAGATGATGTCCCATTGACTCCAAAAACTAGAAACTCCTGTAGAACCAGGAAGCCTGCTTTGAAGGCTATTAGGCAAGCAGAACGAATGGGCTCCTCAATTCAAATGCTATCAGGCTGAAATCATTTATACTGGGAGTGGGCATGGGGTTAGACTTGTTTCCTATTCAGGCCTTCAGCAAATTGGATGAGACCTTACATTATGTTGTGAGTATATTTTACTCAACTCCACTGATTTAAATGTTAATCTTGCTCCAAAGCACTCCTACAAAAACAACTAGAATAATGTTTAACCAACTCTATCACCATATGGCCCAGTCAGACTGATGCACAAAATTAGCTGTCATAGGTAGGAACCATGTTTTACAGAATTCTATATCCCGCTTTCCTAGTATACTGCTATCCATGACACTGGGCTGTGATACAAACACTGAAGTTCATTTAGGTGATGTCTTAATGGAAATTGAGGCAAAAGAGAAAAAACTAATGAAGCTTTTGCAGGGCCCTATAATTAAAAGGCATTGTCCAGATGAGTAAGACAATTAAGAAACATTATATTCTGGCAGAGAATTAGTTCAATAAATGTAAAAGCACAGTCTACTGAGTCCTAAATTGCAGAAAAGGAAGCAAAGCCATGTTTGTCATAATATAAAGAAGGCAAAGGACATGAATAAGGGAACTAACAGTATTTGTGTATCTACCATATGGATTGTTCTAGAAACTTCATATATATGAGATCAACCTACAATGAAACTATGATAGTTTGGTAATTTATTGATTTCATTCAATTTTGAGCATAAAATCAATAGTAGCAAGAGGGAAAATGTATGGAGTTTCAGTTTCAAAGCAACCAGTTAACAGAGTCATAAAAATATTCCATTCTCTAATGTTTTCATCTAATAATTTTCTTTCAGGCTATATAAATATTAGCTAGTCAGAGTGATTACTGTCCTTTTGTATAGATACTTAAGTGATAAGTCCTACCCAGCAACTGAATTGGGATGGAAAATAGAATCTTTGGGAGCCAGAGATACTGAAGCCACTTTTCCGGATTTTTTTTTTTCTTTCTGGTACCAGGGATCAAACTCAAGACCTTGCGCTTGTGAGGCAGGTGTGGCATCACTGAGCTAAATCCCTGGCTACTTTTCAGATTATTTGTGATGTATTGTGATGTAACATAGATCCAGTCACAAATTTAAACTGATTTACTTAGTTTTTATTTGTGTGGGTGTTATTTTTTTCAAGTATTTTTACATTTTATCCTGACTTCCTGAGGCAAAATCTTCTCATGGGATTTTATGTCATAATTTTAACATATAGACTTGTTTCTGTATAATATTACTGTTACTAGGATTTATCTATCTAACAAGAAGTTCACTTTAAACTGATTACTTTGGAAGGTTCTCAATTATTGTGCTTAACACAGTAATGTTAAACTAGACAGTGTTAAACTAGTTTCTTTTCTCCTTATGCTTGAATAATGGTTTTAATCCTTTTTCAGATTTTTTTGAGTTGGTAACTTTGTTCCTGTGGGCTGTTATTTCTATAGAATCAGTAGCATTTTTCATTTTCTACAGCTTTCCAGGTGTTATGTGCCTAGTTTTGAGTTTTGCTTCAAACTCCATCAAGTAATCTTCATATAAGCATGTTCCTTATCTGTGCATTGTGCTTATCATGATCCTTTAATTGATGGAAAACTTGGTCGACACATTTTTATTTTGATATTTTACCATCCAAATTTGCTCTTGTACTGTGCCTGATGTTTCATTATATTATAGACAATTGCACGTTTTGTTTTTAGCAGTCGTGCTTTCTAAGACTTACAGTTTTTTACTTCTTTGGTACATTCCCAGTACTTTCCTTCCTCTATGTCAACTGAGTTTCTTTCCTTAAAAGAGAATATAAATTTACAAAAGATGACAGTTGCAATTTTGATACTGCAAGACATTATTAATGACTCAACAAGGGGAGCAAGGTGATTAGAATAGGACCGGTGGCTTTGTGAAATTTTACACTTGAATTTAATTAGATTCTAAATCTGTTCAGTGGTCAGTGTAAGTCTTTTGTTGGAGAAATAATGACCGTGGCTTTAATTTCTTTTGCTATTGTTTTGCCCTTTTTAAGAAGGGGGATTGAGTACACTGTTACCATGTTTTCTTTTTTTTGTCATGGAGCACAATAGGGATTTTTGTTGGCTCCCTCAGGGCGAAATCTTTCTTATTTGAACAGTAGCTAGAGTAGCGGGTTGCTGAGGGTTTAAAATCACATCTGAGTGAGGGGCAAAGAGCATACTAGTTGGGTCACATGGCTGAAAGCAGTGTCAGCTTTCTAATTGGTTGGGATGATCTCTTGAGGATCACATTCCAGAAATACTGTGTTGGTAAGAGAAGATCATAGTGTTTCCTGCATTACATTATGAATCACTTGCATTCCAAATTGCATCTGAAATTTGGGGTATTCAGGAAATTTTTTATTTGAGCTGTATGTCCCAGGAGTGGAGTAAATGAGAAACATTTGTGGCTGTGTGGCTTACTTGGTGGAAAACGTCCATACTTGGTCCAATTTTTTTTGGACAAGGGATTAAGAATTTGATGTCTGTTTTGGCAGAGAATTGGAACTCATTCTTGGAGACTTGATTATATTTCTAGTTTTGCAATTTATTTGATTTTGGAAAATTTGCTTTGGAAATGATGATATAAGTATCTGAATTACTGAAGAAGGATCTAGTAAGCAAACAGTTTTTCCCACATGCACACTTTTCAGAATCATCAGTTGAACTGTATAGTCAGACTTCTGAAAAGTTTCCAGCTATGACTAGAAAATTGTAAATGTGAACGATGTGGCTTAAAATGAACCAAAAATATGCTTAGGCCCTGTAAGAAGTGGGTGATTTTTATTAAATGCAAAGTTTGTTGCACTTAGTATAGTATTTAAAAACAAATTGACGTGGTCAGTATTTTGCTGGCTCTTAAAACTCTTTTTGTTAGAAAATTTGTAAACTTACACAATTAAGATAAAAAATTATGCTATGCTATTTACAAAAGAAACCTTGAAATTTTTGAAATTTCAGAGATAGGGTGCCATATCTCTTGTTCTTAAGGACATGTTCCTTAAGGACTATTTGGTTTACATTGCAGCATAAATGGAAAGGTAACTTAATATTTTAAGAAAAAAGGAACATATGGAAAACCTTTGGTTCCTGGTCTACTTTATGAGGGAATATCTGGTTGAAAGGATGGTCTGAAAGAGTTGAGAAAAACTGTATATCAAACTAAGATACCAATGTAGTTTAATTCCAGTTCTGATGTCATTCTAGATTCCTTGTGGGGAGTAAAACTATTTTCTCACAGATTATTAGATCTCCTTTATCTGCCTTGTCTTAGGGTAACCATTATAAGCAGTTTATCCTGGGATATTCTGTGTACACACATGAAATGTCAGTGTGACAGAGATGGAAAATCAAGTATGGATCTCTAAGCAAAGAAGCAAGTTTGGTATTTTTGAAGCACATGTAGGACTTTTTTCATTTTTAACCAAACCACCAGATTCCACAGGCTTATCAGATGGTATTGATGCAGGTAGAACTAGTGTCAACTAAGTAACTAAACAAAAATAAAAATAAATATCACAATGATTTATCGTATACACAAAATTACAGTTTCTTCTGGTTCTTCCTATCTCTCTTTCTTACAAGGTATGCTATAGCGTAGATGTAAAAATGTTCCCAGGAGTCTCGTGTCTTAGAGTGGAGGTTTTGAAAAGTGATTGGGTCATGGTAGTGCTATACTTATGCACTCAGGAATGTGCTGTTAGGAGTAGGTCACTAAGGCATGACCTAGAAGAGGGTGTATTCTTGTTTAAGGCTCCTCCTTTCTCTTTGTGCTTCTTGGCTTCCATTGGTTAAGCAGATCTCTCTGACATGCCCTTCTAGCATGCTGTTCCTGCTTTGGAACAAGCCATTTATGGGCTGAACCCTCTGAAACTATGAACCAAAGCAAACTTCTCCTTTCACTTAAAGGAGGTGGATATTTTGTCCCACTGATGAGAAAGGGACTAATACATAGCATTTCTGCAATATCTTCTAGAATCCATATGCCAAAAAAATACTAAAGTATAGAATGTTAGTCAGATTTCTCATTGCTTAGCGAAAATAATCCGCACCAAAAACTTAAGGAGAAGTTTAATTTGGCTCATGGTTTCAGAGGTTTACTCCAAGGTTGGTTGGATCCAAGGCAGGAACACCCCAGCAGAGTGGTGCAGTGGAGCAAAGCTGCTTACTTTATGGTTGTTAGGAAGCAGAGCAGGAGAAGATCACCAGCTAGAGATAATTTGATTTGGTGGGCTTTTTTATGTGTGTCTCTCATACCAGAAATTATAGTGGTAGTTTCCTCTTTTATCCCCACTGAAGACCAGCTTTGCTTCCTAGGGTCAGGGACAGGGAGAAGGAGCCACAAAGACAG